AGCATATACCTTTCCACCGTGGCTGCTACCCATGCTCAGATCCTGGAGTGCACGCTGAAGGGTGTCTCAATAACCTCGCAGCGTTAATGGTACGGTAGCATCCAAACTCATAGTGGGCATATCCCCACAAGGTATGCCACTGCTACTTGTCCCTGGGGAATGCCCATGCCACGTGTGCTATGGCGCGTGGCATGTTACCCTGGGTTTGGACAGGGGAGGCTGGGGCCAGCAACTGTGCTGGCCCCGGAAGCCTTACCTGGGGTCTTGGGGGCCTCTGAGAGCTGCACCCATGGCTCTCCTGCAGCAGAGCGCCTGGCCAGCAACCGGAGCATGGCTCCAGCTGGCCAGGCTGCGGTTTTGGATGGTGCACGCTGCTGCCACGTGTGCCACCTCACTTTTTTTTGGTGTGGGTTTTTTTCATTCCACTCCAGCTTCCATAACAGTCAATATATACTCTGTCCTCTATCTTCCTTTTTAATATCTAGGCTCTGGCCAAACCCTTCACATTTTATGCCATGAGAGTATTTCAGCAATCAGCTTCTAACAGGCAAATCTCTTGTTCATTTTTTGCCTGGACTTCTGTCATCTTCTCTTCTTATGTCTCGGAGCAACCTGGTCCCCCATGTGGCCACTGCCAAAAGCAGTCTTCTTGTCTTTATCTTTGTCCATGATTTCCCCTTCTCTTTGAATCACATTTTTCAATCAGACTTCTGTCCTCATATATACTTTACCATATATACTGCCAGTTGGAGCCATCTCAACCTATATTCTAGAATAAGTATGAGGAACTATGCTCCTACGAGACATAAGGAAGAACTAGACCTGTCTTCTTCCAAGGACACTATGGGTGCATCTACACATGCTATTAGTGTGCACCAATAAACTCTGGCACCTATTGTGCTGGAGTTTATTGCTCCTGGGTGCCTTATTTGAATGTGCACCTGGGACTGCAGCACGTTGAGCCAGGTCAGAGCAGTCCCGCTTGGCAGGAGGCCTGTGGGGTCAGCCTGCCAGCTTGGTGTTGCTCTGACCCAGCTCAAAAAGCTGCAGAGGGGCTGGTTGGGACACAAGGGTGCTCCAGTGCATGGCTAGCTGGCAGGCAGCCCCCACACTGAAGCATCCTCATGCCCCAGCCAGCTGGGTCAGCATCTACACGTGCGTTGTTGCTCATGAAAAAACTCTGCAGCAAGGTAGTACTTTATTAGTTTTCTGCAGACTAATAGGGCCACACGTATAGATACTGAGATGTTATACTGTGGAGCTAATTAGGCAACTCCACAGTAAATGTCTTGTGTAGACAGGCCCTACATGGGGGTAACTGCGTCACTGGTCTTCTCAAATGAAACTGGTCAGTGAGTATTTTCACATGTGGCTTTTCTAGGCTGAAGCTAAATTTATAAAACAAGCAGTTCTGCATGAAAATTGCTATGTAGGAAGCTCTTGTAGGAGACTGTTTTATTAATGCTGCTTAAAGTGAGCATAAAATATTTCATATTCCTGTAGACCATGACTCCCAAACTAAAAAGGCCTTCTGTAGCTGATAGCATTCTGGACCTGATGGTATTCACCCTAGGGTCCTGAAGCAGCTCAGATCAGAAATTGCTGAGGACACTTAGCTGTAGTATACAACCTATCACTAAAACCAGCCTTGGTACCAGAGGCCTGCCATTGTGCCTCCCACATTTAAAAGAGGCTCAAGAGGGCATGATGGGAACTACAGGCCAGTGAGACTGACTTCTGTTCCTTGAAAACTGGAAGAAACAATAATAAAAAACCCCCATTGCTTAGCACATGAATGAACATGACTTGCTGGGGAGGAATCAACATGGCTTTATCAAAGGGAAATCATACTTTGTCAGCCTACTGCATTTTTTTGAGCGTGTCAATAAGTAGGTGGATCACAGCGATCCAGTTGACATAGTATATTTGGACTTCCAAAGCCTTTGACAAGGCCCCCCCGTAAGAGGATCTTAACTAAGGTAGTCATGGAATTACAGGGAATGTCCATTCATGGATTATAAATTGGCTCAAAGATGGGAAGTAAATGGTGAGCATAAATGGTCAGTTTTCAGGATGGAAAGAAGTAAACAGTGGGGTCCCCAGGGATCTGTGTTGGGACCAGTGCTGTGATCTGGAAGAGGGGCTTAATAGTGAGGTGGCCAAATTTGCCAATGACACAAAATTATTCAAAGTGGTAAATACTGAGGCAGACTGTGAGGAACTACAGAAGGATCTGGCATGGTCGAGCAAATGGGCAACTAAATGGCAGATGCAATTCAATGTTAGAAAAGTGTGAAGTAATGCATCTGGGCAGCAATAACCCAAACTTTACCTACACTATGATGGGCTCTACATCAGCTATTACCACATAGGAAGGAGACTGGGAGTCACTGTGGACAATAATGTGCTCAATAATGTGAGTAATCAACAATTCCATGTGCTTAGTAGCCATCAAAAAGACAAACAAAATGTTAGGCATGAATGATGCGTGACCCTGGAGGCTGGGGGGAGGTGGCCACGGTGGTGTCAGTGGCAGGGGGTGGAGGGAAAGGAGCACCAACTCGGGGTTGGCAGCCACCCGCAGATGCTGCCGGCAGCATTGGCGGTGGCCAGCAGCGATCAGCAACCACCTGCAGGCACCGCCAGTGGTGCCAGTGGTGGTGGGGAGTGGTTGAGCAGCATTTGCCCGCAGGCACTGCCAGCAGTGTCAGCAGTAACCAATCTCAGAGGGGTGCTCATGCACCTGCGTGCCCCCCCTATGCGACGCCAATGACATTAGGGACTATTAAGAAGGGAATTATAAACAAAACAATGCCCCTTTATAAATCGCTGGCGAGTCTACACCTTGAATATTACATCCAGGTCCCTGCACCTCAACAAGGATATAGAAGAACTAATGAAGGTACAGAGAAGGGTACCAAGGAGGATTAGTGCTATGGAGGGGCTTTCGTTAGAGGAGAGACTAAGGAGGTGAGGCCTAGTCCATTTAGAAAACGAATGCTTATGGGGGGATGTGATAAGGGTTTACAAAATACTAAATGGTAAAGAGAAAGTAAATAAGGATTTATTATTTACTGTCTCATGATGCAAGAACTAGGGGTCACAGAATGAAACTAGTAGGTGGTAAGTTTAAAACTAATGAAAGGAAGTTCTTTCTCACACAGCTTGCCGTTAAAGTGTGGTACTCCTTGTCACCAGGTGTTGTGAAAGCTGACTGTTTAGCCAGAATCAACAAGGGATTGGACAAATTCTTGAAGGAAAAGGGCCTCAGTAACTAGTGAGCCTGGGAGTTAAGGATGCAGCCTCTGAATCAGAACTTCCTAGACCTCGAATACTGGAGGCTGCAAGTGCAAGAGGAACGGTGGGAAAAAACCCTGGTCAGATCTAGTTTACTCTCTTTCAGTTTACTCTTTACCACTATGTGACACAGGATACTGGGTAAGATAGACCTATGATCTAATCCAGTAAATGGCAATCCTTATGTAGCTCTAAGATGAAACTGAAGTCACTGGCAAAATCTCACTGACTGCAGTGAAGCCAAGATTTGATCCCTAGTTTTATGCCATTGGATAACAGTTCCCTTCAGCTGAAACTGCATACCTAAACTTATCTCTCCATGGGTGGTTATAAAGAGCCTCATTTTTCCTTATGATTCATATTACTTTAATTCTATTTATTCTCATATAACCTATTAGTAAACCTTGTTTTAACCCTCTGTGGTAACCTCATCTGGAGAAGGGGAGTTTTACATCTACGGTACATTACTGCATTAAACTTTCATTTGCCAATCTGGTTGCTGCCTATGCAAGATGCTGTCATCCTTATATAGTTGAGTCCCACTTAGCATTGACTGAAAAGTTTAAAGCTTATGCCTGGGAGTTTTCACTTTTGGCATGTGCAGACATTCCCTTTCCCAAGAGAAACTCTCCTGGGAGTGATGTAACCCTGGTTGATCCCAAGTTATTTTTCTCTTGGAATGGCCATTTTTACCCTGGGAGAAAAAGCCTGAATATCTGTACATTTGTGGTTTCTCCTGGGAGAACAGCAACTCTCCCTGGAGAAACAAAATGTCTGTACAAGGTTCTTGTGTATAAAACAAGGTCAGAAGAGTTTCAGTAGCAAAGCCTTGGTGTGGGCAGGGGGGTGGCCTGAACATGCGAGTAGAAGGCTACAGAGTCTCATAGAGTTTTAGCTTAAAAAAGTTATGGGAAATGGACAGCAGCTGGTTGGTATGCCACCTTAGGGGCATATTTTCAAAGCAATATGAGGTGAGTTAGCTGCGTGGCTCCTGTTATTACTAATGGGAACCACACATAGCTATGTGCTAAAATGGTTTGCTGAATCAGAACCTAAAAGCAAGGAGCAGGAGTCTAGGTTGGAGAACAGCCAGGGTGGTCTGCCTTTGTCCCTGCAATTGCAGCTACTGTTGGAAAACTGCATACTGCATGTGCCATATTATCAGCAGGCATCTATCCTTTTCTCCTGTGGGATGATGAAGCAGGCATGTGCATGCCTCTCTGTGGGTGATCTTGGCATATATTCATGTTGCAATGGTACCTACACATTGTTTGTAACCATGGTCCAATAGCAAGCGTGTGCCCTTCATGTAAAATCACAAGCTTCCTTCCTCGCCAAGGAGCAGCGTTCAAAAATCCTGGATGCTTTAACTCCCTTGCCTCTTCCACCATTAGCTAGATTTGCTGCCTTTGTTCTTTTCTTTTTATTTCTAGCTTTTGCTCTTCCATCCCTGTGGGAAGGTGATGTTCAGTATTAGTACACAGCTATTGACAGTAATCCATTTTTTCCACCGATACCCTCCAATACTATAGGAAAAAAGCACTCCATAGTTGGCCATTGTTTCACTTTGCAACCACGATGTTGCACTCAAAAATGGCTTTTTCCTCCTTCCGCATTACCTTGTGCAAAACAAAATATATATATATATATATATCAGCTTCTCTGAAGGGCTCCAAAAGAAACCTGGGAATATGAAATTACCTTAAAATGGGAGAGACAAATTTGGCAAGGAAGATTTCACGCTTCCTTTCTTCCATGCAACTCTACTAGTAATACAGATGAGGCATGCGTTTGCTTTCAGCCTTCATGGATGGCACCACACTCACTTCCTTTCCCTCCCCCTGCTCTGGTGCTCTAAGCAAGGGCATGCGAGTCACATATCAAAGGCCAACACTAGTTTTACTTCTACCTAATAATGCACTTCCAGCTTGTTCAGCGCCTGCCTGTTCAGACTGTCAGATTCCAGCTAGAAGTGTTTGTAAACAGAGCTGAAGAAACTCTCCCAACTTTGCCTCAAGTACTGCAGCATAGATATTATAGTCATGAAATGAATGTCCCTGGGAAGAAAACAGATATACTCAGTAACCTACCCTATGGCACTGAGCTTTGTATTACAAAGAGCAGGAGAGAATGTGAGTAATCAACAATTCCATGTGCACATAATGCTGCACTTTTTCCTTCTCTTTATCGTTGTCTAATTAAATTTCAGTCAGCCTGAACAAAAAAGATTCATACTAGTTGTAGGCAGTAAATAAGGATGTGGTAGAAAAGGAGTACATACAACTTCTAGCCAAAGGTTGAGGAGAAAGAATGCTAACTTCACACAAACAGCTGAATTATCAGACAATGCTTGCAGGGGGGTTGGTAGCAAACATTTCTATTTTAATAACTGCACTTAAAAAATAGCGGAACCTGGTAATGGCGACATCAAGAAGATGGTGTTTCTAAACGTAGAGCAATAACTCAACGAGATCGAGCCAGTTGTGGTTTCTATACTAATTAATGTTTCTCAAAATGTTCGCCTGATGTGTGACACTGATGGATGTTGCCAGGTTACATGATATCACTTTCCAAAACAGTGTGTGATGTTTAAGATTGATAAAAAAAAAAAAAAAAAAAACTCTCCTTTTAGTCTGCATCAAGAAAAGGGCCCAGGAAATATATTGGCAGCTAGGAGGGTAGCCATCCTTTAAATACAGAGAGTCCTTGGCAGCGTAGGCACAGAAGACCAAGACTTGAATTCTCAGTCCTGACCCTCCGAAGGGGCCAACACTCGATACTTAACCCTGGTTTTGTGATGGGATTGACACGCAACTACAATTACAATAGTATTGCCATTGACTTGTAAATTATAGATCAGTATTTTGAACCACAGTTTGATTATTTTTAATAACTTAAAAAAAATACAGAATGGGAATTTGGCATTATTAAACCGCAATTTTGTATTCTGCTTCTAAGGATTTATAGCTTCTGGTTTGAGCAATACATGTAATGGGCTAAATCCTGTTCTGTGTCAGAAGGATATAGTACCAGAGCCCATTTATCACCTGAGTGCTTCCTTGGATCCAGCAAAATTAAGAAGTGGGCCTGTGTGATCCCAGTCAATCCCAATCCTGAATATGATTTCCCAGCAAGGATGCACAAAACAGACATTCAAACTGAAGGTTGGAGACAGGCTGCTGTTGAACTAGCAACTTCTGCCCTGAACGATCCAACTCTGGACTGGCAGTCTGGCTCGCTATGCTATGGCTCTTCTTCATGCCGAAAATGACCATGTATTATTATAAAAGACCATATTGCAGCCTAAGATCCCTACTCAACCGGACTATAATCATGGTAGATTCTGTTCTTGTCTCAATATACCCATTTCCTTTAGCTGTTTATGGTACTAGTTTGTAAGGGTTATTTTGGCAGCCATTTTTCCTCCCAAAGTCCAAGACACAGGGAAAGGATTTCAGTTCACAGCAGCTTCAGTTTCCTTGTTGGTTTTGGTTACTTTTTACATTTTTTTTCCCTACTTTGTTTAGAAATTGAATATTGGCCAAAACACACACAAAAGTTCAGGTGTCTATTGACTTGAAACCTTTACCAGCAGCCGAATCCCATGAATACTTGCCTGACAACCTCTTGTTTACCTGCAGGAGGAACATTGCAAAGGGTGTTTATGACTAGCTGCTATGCAAACTAGTAAAAACAAGTCATCTGAGAAAGAGAAGGAACATTGACTGCTTTGACAACTGCCTTGCCATTGCTAAGGAAACTGCTCCCTTGGTAACCATGGTCAGTACATCTGTCTCATTTTATCTCCAACTCTTGCATAGATACCATCATGGGAAGACTGTAATAATGAAGAAAACACAAACATTTCAAAATAGGAAAAAGTAACAAAAAGTGCAAAGTCTTTCTTCATTTGCCTACTGAAAACTTTAAGGAGACTTTGCTTTGAGGTTAGGTTAGCAAGGGCTTTGCCTGCTGTGTTTGAGATGTGTCCCTGAAAAATCAACTGCTAATCAAAACAAAAAATGTTGGCGTCTTCTGCTTCTAGTCCTTTAAAATGTTGTATACATGTTTTCTGTTAATGCTCCTAATTTAATCTAACACAGTAGGATTAGAAAGGGGGGCAAGTAGAAGAAATGGAAAATTAAGTACCTAAGAATGACACCATCAAACTAAGAATAATACTTGACTACGATGAGTATTAGGATGCAGGTATTTGGGGGTAAGAGTTGATTTGTTAGTGGGAAGAAGCAGCAGTTTTGTGTGTGACTTACGTCAACTTTCAATGCTGGGGGGTGATGGTCGGTCAATGCAAAGCAAACAAAATCAGCATAGTTAGCTTGTGTGATGAAGCCTCCAACAAATATTTCTAATACATGATGCTAAAATTGCCCTTTCCTTGTGTGCTACATGATAATCTTACAGGATTAAGAAAGTTAGTGGTGACAGGTAAGATTATTTGCTAAGATGATTTAACCACTCTATCAAACTGAACTGGCCTGTTCTGTAGTTGCTGCATTAAACCTTGAGAAACCACTGGTGAGAGCCTTGGCTGGCATATACCAAAGGGAGCTGGGGAGTCAACTTTGCTCTCTCTCTGTGGTGCCATGACAAAGTCAAAGGCAAGAGGAATGGCCTCTTTGCATTATGTTGGCAAAGAGTCTCCACTGACTAGGCCTGTACGGCTGATACTACCACAGCTGCAGCCCAGTTTGCAAGAGCCCTTGTCTAGCACCTTGCTAAAGACTGCTATGTAATCACCCTTGCTGGTTCCAAGGACGCCCAAATGGTGACTAGGTGATAAGCTGGTTGGGTGATGGCTCACGAAGCAGCAAGCTGCCAAAACATCCCAATGATGATAAAAATGCCATGATGCATGAATGCCTTTGCTGATGTAGGAGGGTGCTAATGCGTACAGTTCGGGGAAACCTTTTCAAACAACCACCAAGAAATCAAACAGCTCTTCTTCCTGAAGAAAAACAAATCATGACGTCTCCTGAAAGCAGGTCCTCTAGTTACCCCATCGCAAGATACCATCGCTTCTTCTTTGACCTTCCTGGTGGGGGTAGTAGGCTGCATCACGTTCCCGTGTGGTGTGACACACATTGCAAGACAGCCAAATCGGTATTTGCAGCACCCCCCACTTCCTCCTCAGACGCTGCTCTTCATTTGAGCAAGGTGATCCCAACTTTAAACATCGAGAGAGAAAAATATCAAATGAAACGTGAACTGGACCCAATTCCCATGAAGGAAATGCTTATTCAAGGTGCACATCAGTGCATTTAGGAAGCCTATCCTAGCCTAAAGAGGTGTTAATCACCACGGCAGTGGGCCAAGTTCTGCTGTCAGACCCATGTCTGCCTTGACTGAGAGAGGAGAAGTGCGTGAGCCCAATGGAGAGAGGAGACTGCTTAATGAACTTCCAAGGAGCAGCTACAAAAATACAAAACAAGTTTTAAAGTGACTTTAAGATCATGTTTAATTTGAACAACTTTGCCCTTGAGACCCATGGAAAGCACATCAGCTGGCTCTGACTAACGTGTTTTCCGCAGCGCTCTAGAATAAAGAAATGAAGTACAGTATGTACTCATCTGGTGAGACATTTAGATTGGCTACTGATACGCTGCAAATGTTTATAAAGAAAACAAAATGTGGATGCTGGCCATTTTAATTAAAACTTGCAGAATCAGTTCACCCTGAGTCACATGATCTCTGAACTATAGTCTATCGTCTTCGGAGACATCTGCTTGCACAACAGTAAGAAGGAACTGTAAATCTTGCAAACAAACTGTTCTCTCGCTTGACTGGCCCGGTAAGCGAGGCTGCTGATATAGACATTGCCAGGTACCTGCTCTTTATCTAAAGGTGAAGGTTAATATTCCACAGCCCAGACACCCAGGTTTGATTTTATCATATCAAAGCTAAGACTCTGCTACTCAGCTGAAGAAAGCAGACAGAATGAAAACTTGAAACCATGCTAATCCTTTGCAGTGTTTTCTCTTCTGTCATGCTGCACCAAGTAAAATCCTTAGCTTGTTTGCAAGAGGTAATACAGCTCCAAAATTGATCCGTGAGTGCACAGATGATCGCTCACTTCTCCCTGCCTTACACTTTGTCTGCTCCTTTAAAATAAGGGAAAAGGAGTTGTTTCCACCCTGGCTGTCACTTGCTGCACCTCCAAAACAATATCTATTTGCTTGGCAAACGAGGATCTCCTAGTTTGCTGATGTATAATCTTTCCATTGCTGAGCGATGATCCTGATTAAGACAAGCCTAAAAAAATTCCCCCATAATAGTGGTGAATTTGTTGATTGAATAATTCAGGAACTGACAGCACTGACATAATTTCAGATTCTCCCTGGAGAATCTATTTAACTCAAATCGTGTTACCCCAGGAGTTGATTTGGCTCACGGTGGGAGGGCGCTGTCCAAGACTTCCCACGCACGTCTTGCCAGCGCTTTGAACTGCCAGCCTGCAAAACCACAGCCTGACACCATTTGGCAACTGGGTCAAGCGGCTGCAAATAACTTTAGGATAAAAACAAATGTCAATTAAGGTGCATGGCCCAGTTTGTCCCCTGCAATGCATCAGCGAGCCACAGATGGGGTTCCTACACTGACCTCTTTGCTGCAAGACTCAGTGGGGGCCTGTTACCTGCTGTTGTAAATTAGGACAGTCATTGGACCCTGCAGAGAATGGGCTCCAGATCCGGGTGCCTTTGTGCACTCCTTTCTGAGTGGTCAGCAGTCAAAGTACAGGGATCAGCCATTGTTTGGGCTACTAAATACGGCAGGCTTATTTTTCCAAGACCTTCCCCTTGCCTAACCAATACATCTGTGCAAAGAGGGGGTGTGCAACACTGTAGTTTCTCTATATAAAGAGACAACAAATCACAGTCCCTTCTGTGCTACCAGATCTCTCAGGCTGTCCCCCAAACAAATCCTTTCTTTAATTATTTTTTTTTCCTCCCTCTTTTCTGCACCCCCCCCTTTTCCTGTCTGTCAGGATATCTCCTATATATAGCAAGGGCTAATACTGATGTTTCTTCTGAAGCCTAAGATGCAACATCGACTCCTCCTGTTGGCCTGGCCTGCCTCAGGCTCCACCTTTTCTGCAAATCCGTGCCAAATGCTTTTGTATCACTTCTGTGACTGTAATATTTTGTGGAGGTCAGAACTGCTTTCTAAACTCATATGTGAACTGAAGCAACTGCTGTGAATCTAAAATAACTCTTTTTTTTTTTTTTTTTTTTTTTTTTT